GAGCAGCGACATCGCATGGATACACAGGTTGGGCAGGAAGGCAGGGATGAGGAGGAGGCGTGGCGAGAATAAGCACAAGGAGGCATAGGAAGTCGGCAACGGTGATGGCGCACAAACGAGGCAGGGAGGATGAGGATGAAGTTGTTGTCCCACTGGCCGGGCCCGAGTACGTGGGATCCTTCAGCGCTGTCTGCCAGTTCGTCGGCTACCAGGACGTTCCCCCCTTGTCATCCCGCGGTTTCGCCAATCCGGTCGCTTTTTGCCAATTTGCTCTTTCGTTGTCTGCCAATTCGTCGGCTGTGTGTTGTCGGTGTCAGCCCGCGGTTATGCCGTCGCCAGCTTGTTGTCACCGTCGTCGTCACCCTCAGACTGCGGCTGTTCCAGTAATGTAATTGCTTCGCTCATTCCGCCGGCACAGACTATTCCATCGCGGGCGTTTGCCCGCGTGTTCGTTGCCGCTGCGGCGATGTCGGCAAAGTGGTAGGTTTTTGAAGTGGTGCGTTAGCAGTCGTGATCGTCTCGTGGCAGAGGGCTAGAAATTGCTGTTCTTGTCGCCCATTCTTGAGCCCCGAGAACTTCCCTTGAGGCCCTCTTGGGGGGTCTTCAGAGCCTCGTGGGGGCTCATTGTAGCATCGTTGACACTTGCCCGCGTGCTCGTGGGTGCATGCTGGGAGCCTCTTGGAGCCTCTTGGATGGGGGGGCTCTTGGGGGCTTCTGGGGGCCCCTTGGAGGTCTCGCGTGTCCCTCTTGGGGTCTTTCTGGCAGTGGGGGGGGGCCATCTGTCGGGAAAGACATCGAAACTTCAGTTCGGGTTCTCCCTTTTCGGATCCTCTTCGGGGGTCTGGAGGCTTCTTGGGATGCCTCTTGGGCCGTCTCGTGGCCGTCCTGGGTGCCTCTTGGTTTGAATTGTGGCAATCTTGGGGACTGGATGGGCAGCCTTGGGCGGTTGGAAGACTGAAACAGCGGTAACGCCAAAATCTTCCAAAACCTTCGACCGCATCAATGAGTTGTAGCCTCTGTGGAGGCCTCTCGGAACTGTACTTGAAAATTTGGAGGCTATCTTGAAGCCTTTTGGGAGCGTATGGAGGCCATCGTGGAACCTGCCACCCATGGATCCCGACTCGAACGATCTCTTGGAGCTCTCTTGGGGTCCCTCGTGGCACTCCTGCGGCGGAAGGCGAGGGGGCGGACGAGGAGGTGGAGGAGGCGGACGGACGTAGGACGAGAAGGACGAGGATGAGTAGAAGGTTGATCGTGGAGGCCGAGGAGGCGGACAAGAAGGCAGCGGAGCAGGTCGAGGAGGAGGCCGCGTCGCCGTACCAGGTCTCTCTCGGCGCGAGCGGCGTCGCCTCATGCGTGGCCAGGCCGTGGCCGCGCCTGGTCTGCCGTGTCGCGGCCCCGTGGCTGCAAGTTGGCCCGCCTCGGAGCTGCCTCGCCGCCACCTCGCAGCGAGAGCTCGGGGCCGCACGCGCGGGACGGCACGTGGAGCGCTTGCGGGCGCGCGGGCAGGCCCTGCGCGCTTGCTGGGCAGCGTCCGCCCCCGAAAGGCCTCCGCCCCTCTCCCCCCCCCCCTGCGGCCGCCCGCCCTGTCCTGGTCTCCCGCTCCCGCATGCGGGGCACTTCGCTGCAGCGGCGCCCCCGTCTGGCCCACTGCGCTGGCGCAGGGGACCCACTGCCTCGCCGCCAGCGGAAACATGTTTGCTGGGCAGCCCGCGCGGCACCGGGGGCAGCAGGGCGCCATTCGCGGCGCTGGCTGCGCGCCACATCGCGCAGCTTCCCGGGGTGCACGACTCAGGTCGGCTGCACGTAGGTGTGACCCTTCGCCAGAGTGAGCGTCGGTGCGGGCCCACTGGGGTCCCCCGATCGCCGAACTCGATGCTGTAGTAGCGTCTTGCGCGCTTGTGTTTGGTCCTCCCGCGGCCCCAGAAAATCCGCTCACCAAAGGTCACTCTAACCAAGTGTCACTCTCGCGTGTAGCCGAGAAGGTGCGAAATCGGCGACCGCGCCTCGGAAGCGCTCGCTATCCGTCAAGATCGGGTTCGCCTCAGCATTTCCAGAATCGGAAGGCTTTCCTCTGTCCGTCCTCCTCCGGGGCGGGGCTGGAATCACATCTGGCTTCGACGCGTTCATACTTCATGCTTTCGCCTGCTTGTTCCGACCGGAGTGTAGGCAGGGAAAGTTCTGACGCTGCAGCAGCTCGGCTACAGTGCGCCTCTTCGGAGCACCGTCGGGGCGACATCCGCAGTCATAGTTCATGCATGCGCTGCTGGTCGATGTTGATCTCGTGCTAGCCATTACCTCAAGAGTCTTCGTAACGCGTATGATTGCTTGCCTGACTGCAAGTATCGCTGCGATTGTATCTCGTTTGGCACTGCTGTATTTTGAGACTGTTGCTATGAAAGCCTCCGAAGGCAGACGTATTTAGGGGATCATATTCTCGCGTGTAGTGTCGTTTCGTATCATTTCGCGCCGCGCTTGCCGTTGGTACGAAGGCTGGCCCCGAGTGTACAAGGCTGCGAGCGTGCGCCAGACAAGCTGTCCCCCTTGATCATCCTTGCGGACGTCGGGCCGCGCATCTTCGTGCCTACGTCTCGTGGCGTCCACGTGTTGCGGTGTCTTCGCGGTGTCACGGTGTCGTGGTGATTGGTACTGTGATGCCGCGGTGTCACGGCGTTGTGGTGTCGTAGCGTCGGTCGTAGTGTTACCATGCTGTGGTGCCACAGCGCTGCGGTGATATGGAAATCGTGTGCGCGGCATCGCCGTGTCGCGGTGTCGTGGTATTTTGTCTCGTTGTGCCTTGGTGTCGCGGACCCGTCGTCTGGGTTTCCCTTTTGCTTGGTGAATCGGCTTGCGACCGACACGGAGGCCTGCAGCAGGTGGCGGTGTAACAGATGGTTTGGTTGTCGTTTCTCTTGTTGTCTGTAGCTCATCCCGCCACCGTGACTGGGTCGTGGTCAAGGGGCCCTTAGAGACACATCGGGGTCTCTCGGGAGGCCTTTTTGGAGCCTCTCGAAAGCCTCTTGGACTCTTGGAGCCTCTTGGATTTTTTTTCAAGCCTTTGGGGGGCCTGCGTGTCGCCGGCATCTTAGGGTCTCTTGGGGGCGTGTCGTGGGTCTCTGGTGGGGCCTTGGGTCCATCTGGGTCAAGGGATCGAAAAGCCTCTTCGTGCTCCCCCTCTTGGACCCATCTTGGGGTCGTCTTGGGCTCCTATTGGGCCCCTCTTAGGAACTTTGGGGCCCTCTCTGGGCGGCCTTGGAGGCCTCCTGGGCTGTCTGGGACGCACTTAAAACCGACAAGGCGCACATGTAAAACTCGGCGGCCAGACCGGGGGGAAGTGAGAGGGGGGGGCCTTCTCAGAAGGGTCGGAAGCCCGCTGGCCTTCTGAGAAGTTTTCTAAGCTCTTCCCGAAGACACAGGACACTTTTCAGAAGGCCGAAGGGCTTCTAAAGATCCCCGCCGCTTTCTGAGAAGGCCTTCTCCTTCTCACGTCCTCCCTTGCTCGCCGTCGAGTCTGGGACGCAGTTAGGATCATTAAGGTGCTCATGTAAACCTCAGCCGTAGATTTTGGGGGCTCGGACGATGTGGGCCTCTTTGGAGCCAGCCCCTAGGTGCCTCCAGTGGACGGCCGCCAAGGGCTCTAAGAGAGGTCTCCAGTGCGAGCTCCCTGGGACTGTCTTGGGGCATGCTGGACGTGCATGGCCCGGGCAATGCTACCGAGGCTTCTGGAAACTGCCTGCGCAGAGGAGCAAGAGGTCTTGATGATGACATGTTCCATCATTTCCCAGGTTCTTGTCATTTCCGGCATATCCTACTGTTCCGCACCAGTTGCGCCGTTAGATTTTCTGGGGATCCGAGAACGCCATCCTGAGCCAATCTTATCTTGACATCATTCCCGCCCTGATCTCGAAGAACGCTCCAGAGGCTTTCAGAAAAGTCATGCGGCGAGAAGCTCTGAAAGTGCCCAAAAAGAGCGCCCGTCCATTGGCCCTCAGGCCCTTCACCGAGCACTGCAATCTATTCAAAGGGCAGGGCTCTAAGGAACCTGAAAACACTCCACTGAGTTCTTGTGGAATGGTGGCTGATTAAGTTCTAAAGCAACGATTTGTGTATGCTTGAGCTTTTAGTTGTTCTAGTTATGCATCATCGCTCGCTTTAGTTCCAGCGTGTGCATCGAATCCGTGATTCGATCCATTCCATGGCTGGAGCAGCCGCCCCATAAGCTTCTCGTACCACGCCACGGTCTGCGGGGGGCGATGGGCCTGGACCTTGCCATTTGGAGGGCGGCTCCAGTCGTCTCCACGGCCGGAGGTGTATCGCTGTGTGGGAGCCATCTCGCGCTGGAATGTAGAACATCGCTCATCTTATGCAGTTACCGTTGCTTCTGCATCCAAGTGAGCGCAACTGATCCCCCGACGTGCCACACTCCAGGTCATGGCCCATTGCTGCCCTTACCAAGCCCATTTGAGTGCCCTGACCACTGAAGAATTTCCCTGACCCCGCTCCTCCTCAACCGCCTCCGCTTGATATCGTTCCACCTCCGCTTCCGTCTGGCCAGGGTTATGCACCTACTACCAACTTTGGCTCTTCCTGTCAACAGCGCAGCTTCGCAGCTTCTTCGTGTCCTACTGATTACGGCGCATCGCTCCTGTCCGTCCTGCTGCTGGTGTCTTGTCTCTCCCTCCTCCTGCCCCATCCCTTCCTTATCCCTCTCTCTACTACTACACCCCATGACCCCTCCCCCCTCCCTCCCCTCTTCCCTCTCTCTCCTACGCTATCTCCCTCTTCCCTCCCCTCGATGCCTTGCTCCAGACCAGTCAGAGGCTGAATCAGACCCGCAGTCCAGCAACGGAAACTCGTTCCGCCCCCCCCGTCGCCGCCGCCGCTCATGGACCCCCCGCCTCGCCTTCGACCCCACCCTGGGCGCCCACGGAGAGGCCCGCACCAGCACGCCCAGCAACTTCGACAGCGAGTACGGCCGCGTCCTGGGGGGCACCGCAGCGATGCTGGCTGCCGCAGGCCCTCCTGCTCACCCAGCCCCCCCCCCCGCTCCGTCCGCTCCTCCGCCGCCGCCGCCGCCGCCGCATCCTTCTCATACTGCTTTTTCTGTTCCTCCTAATCCTCCCTCTCCCTCTCCCTCTCCCTCCCATCCTCCTCCTCCTCCTCCTCCCTCCTCCTCCTCCTCCTCCTCCTCCTCCTCTCCTTCCTCCTCCTCCCTACCTCCTCTCCTCTCCTCTCCTCCTCTCCTCCTCCTCCCTCTCCTCCTCTCTCCTCAACTCCTCCCTCCTCCTCTCCTCCTCTCCTCCTCCTCCTCCTCCTCCTCCTCCTCTCCTCCTCCTCCTCCTCCTCCTCCTCCTCCCATTCCTCCTTCTCACTTTCCTCCCTACCTCAGTCCTTCTCCTCCTCTTCCTCCTCCTCATCAGCTTCCTTCACCCTTCTTCCTCCAGCCCCTACGACGATCAGGCGTCGACAAACAGCATGAACGTTTGAAGGTCCCCGCGGACTTATTAGGCCGTCGCCGCTCCTTCAGCCAGTACCCCCCTTCGCGCCCTTTCCGAGGCGGGGCTTTTTCCATAACCTCTGCCTGGGGGATGGATTTTCGCTGGCCTCAACAGGCGGTGGATATGGCTACACTCCGGCCAAACTATATACCCATACCCGCCGCCCGCTGGGGCAGGACGTCGGTTCCCAGGCGGTGGATACGGATAACGAAACATTCGCCCCCCCTCCTGCCACCATTTTGTAAACCCGCCACTTAAGAACCCAATCATCCAATTGCAGATGATGTTCCTCCTTGTCCTCGTCCTCCTCGTCTGACCCCTCCTCCTACTCCTCCCCCTCCTACTTCGAAGTGCTCCTCGAAATCGCCAGGAACTCCCAGGACCCTGCCCGCCCCCTTCGACCCCCCTTCCTCCCGGGACCGACAGCCAGATCGGAGGCCGGAGGGCCCTCACCTCCGGAGGTCCCTCTCGGCACTTGGCGGCCCTCGCCGACGGTCGCCCCGGCCGGAGTGCCGGGCGGGACCCGAGGGCGTGCACCCCCCGGGGGTGTGCTGGGCCACCGGGTGAGCCTCGGGCCAGCGTGAGCAGCTGGCCACTGCGGACGAGATGCCCACGCATGCTCGCGCCTTGAAAAGATCCCGGGTTTTGGCCGCAACAGCACGATTCGGGATGAAAAACTTGCCCTGGGAAAGGGCTTCGCTTTTTCTCCTGCCTCTGGCTGCTGTTGTTTTGCACGTCACCCATCTTCCACATCCTCCTGTTCTTCCTTCTCGTCCTCCTGCGCCGGGCTGGTAAGAGACGGGGTCAATGCAAACGGGGGTCAACCAGAGCTCCACATGTTGTAGGCTCCTGCTAAGCCAGGGTTGCACTGACCCTGGCTTGCGCGCAGGATCTTACAAAACCCGACTGGCCCGAGTTTGCATCGACCCGGGTCAGTGCGACCCTGACTGCTCTTGCGTCATCTCCTCCTGTGGAGGCAGCTGCCCTTCTCCGATTGCTCATAACACGACGGAGGTCCTTGGGAGGAGTTCCAGGTCGGCTATGACACGCGCCCGCGGATAGAGAGCACATCAGCGCAGTTGGAAGGGATGGGCGGGAGGGTTAGGATCCAAAAATGGCCTTGCCTTCGAGGATAGAAGGAGTTGTCATTTCTTCCTCGGCGGAAGGCGGCGGAAAGGCGGCGGAAGTTCGGCGGAAGTAAAACGAGGCCGGAAGCCAGCGGAAGGCTAGCGGAAGGCGGCGGAAGTAAGAAGTTGCCTTCCAAGAGCTGCACGGCGACGAGCACGCGGGACACCAGGAGCAGCACGACGGATGCGCAGCACGACGGGTACCAGGAGCAGCAAGGAGGGCACCATGAGCAGCACGACGGGTGAGTCACACGGTGAGTTCCACGAGCAGCACGACGGGTACGAGGTGCAGTCCGGCGCGTAACACGAGCAGCACGACGGACACCAGTAGTTACACGAGCAGCACGCCGGATACCATGAGTTGTACGACGGATGCCATGATAACGCGCGCTTTGCGCCCACCAACGCGGCATTCCGACCTACAGCGTCCAGTTGTCCACCCCCACCTGTCGAGGTTCAACCTCTACCAGATCGACACCGCGCCATCTTGCCACCAGCACCCATCTTCCCAGCTGCACCTCCACCTATCGACCTCCCGCGTCCACAAACTCGGCATATTGACCCCCTGCAACTAGCACCCAACTCCAACTACACCTCCACCGAGTGACCTCCAACCTCCACCAGTTCCGCACCCTGACCTCTCACATCCATCATCCGACATCAACGTTCACACCATCACCCCCACCTATCGACTTTCAACCTCCACCAGGCCATCACCACCACCTGCAACACCCAGCATCAAACATTCCACATCCACCTCCGCCTATCGACCTCCAGCGCCCACCAACGCAGCATTCCGACCTCCAGCATCAATTCTCCTGGCTTTGCATGGGCGGGTTCTCACGCCCCTCCGAGGCCAGCCCAAAGGTGACAGCTCCACTATGGACCACCCTCCCCCTCCACTCCGACGACAGCCCCTGCACCAACGCCTCCGTTCCGACAGCCCCTGCACCAACCTCAACTCTTGCACCTACGTCGACACCAACACCAACGCCCACCCCAGCACCGGCGTCAACGACATCCGACGCTTGCTCTCCATCTCTGGCTTCACCTCCACCCGCCCCATTCCACAATAGGGACCGCGCATGCGCACCTCCATCTCAGCTCCGACTTCTGCCCCGACGCCTGCGCCGCCTCCAACTCTACTCCTTCGCGCGCGGGCTTGATGTCCGGTTACAGCCCTCAACGGCCGCCGACTCCAGCTCACCAGCGATTGAATTCAATGCACGACCTGCCCGCATGGAGTTGAGTTGCTGGGCCCACGACGCACCGGTACCACCACCCGTGCCCGTCACCTTACAGCCTCCGCCCTGGCACGGGGACGGATACCTGACATACCTGACGTGGTTCCGACGATCATCATGAGCCGCAGCACCAAGATGGACAGGGAGTTCTTGACAGTGGTGCCGGGGTGCGACACCATGGTGGCAGCGGTGTGAACCACTCTTCCGCACGCCCCCTCCTTAGCGGGGCCTCCTCCTGGTCCTCCTCTCCTTTAGGCTGCGTTGTGCGTTTGTGGATTTTATATAAGTGGCCGCTGGGGCCACAGAGGTTTCCCACACGGTGCCCTTGCCTTTTTCCCCTTTCCCTCGCTCCTCTTCTTCCCTCTCATCTTCCTCCTTCCGCTTCTCTGCACCGCACGCGGCGGGAAAAGAGCCACACTTTGTTGCAAGAGCGCTCTCATAGAGTAGTGGGGGCATCGCTCACTCACTGAGTCCGTGGGACATGTGTCCCTGCTGTCCGCAAGGTGGCAGGATGTGTCCGCTGGAGGAGGTGCGAAGAGATTTCGTTTCCCTTTTCCCCTCCTCTCCAACATTGCGCTGAAAAAAACAAGGTGCCCTCCAAGAGATGACAACATGTATGGGTTGAGGATTTCCAGAATCCGCCAGATATGGCGCGACCGCACCTAGCTTGTCTCCCCCTCTCGCCCCCCCCTCCTCGCACCCCCCCTTCGCGGCGCCATTCGAGGGCACAACGGGTACTTCGCCTGCGTGCCTGGCCCTCAGCCGCGGGCGGGATAGCGGCCGACGAGCGCGGGCGCGGGCGGGGGTCCCCGCAGCGCGCGCTTGGAGCCCCGCGGGGCTCAGAGCTTCGGGGGGGGGGGCCTCCTCGTCCTCCTCCTCCTCCTCCTCCTCCTCCTCCTCCTCCTCCTCTTCCTCCTCCTCCTCCTCCTCCCCCTCCGCGTCGCATCAGCCTTCGGTATGCGTGACAACTAGAAACACATGTGCAAAGAAACGAGCAGATATTCTCAAGCAGTATGGGAACATCCAGAAGATGTGTAAGAATATGGGTGGTCTTGGGATGTGTGTCTATTTCTTTGTGTGTCCCTGAGCCCACTCACTTTGGATGCGCGCGCGGATTTCCTGGGTCGACGCTGGACCCCCCCTGCCCCCCCTGCGCGCCACGGAGGGGGGGGCCGGCACAGACCCGAGACACCCCCGCGCAGACCTCCGGAAGCTTGTGCTCACGCAGTCTATCTGCTCGGTTTTTCTCTGGAGGCTCTTGCGGGGTTCGCGGTCCTTCGGGATGTTTTTTCCAACAGCAGGGCTTCGTCGAGGCCCTCGGGGGGACCGTCTTTGGTTCCTGTTCCCGCGCTTCCCTGCTCTGCCGGTCTCCTGCCCCAGTACCTCTGCCGCTCGGCGCGCTTCTCTCCTTCCTGCTTTCCTCCTTGCCTGCTGCCCCTGCCGTCCCCCTCCACATTTGCTCGTACGCGCTCCTTGGTCTTATTTCCTCTTCTCGCGCCCTTTCCTCGAAAGGGCAAGCTGATCCCATGAGCGAGGACCAGGAGGAGAACGTGGGAGACGAGGATGACGATGAGGAGGAGAGGTCAGAGGCGAGCAGGATGCAAGGCCAGGAGCAGAGCCAGGGAGACGAAGGGAAAAAGGAGCAGCAGCAGGACAAAGAAGAAAGGAGGGGGGAGAGTAGGATAGGACTTGGTGAGCCTTGGTGGGCCCTGGAAATGGCAGCACATTTGTTTCACCGTGTTCGAAAAAGTGTCTCTTGAACATGGAAATGGTAAGACAACCGCAACGGGAAAAGGCAAAACACCGGCTCCAGAATTGGAACCGGAACCAGAATTGGCAACAACAATTGCGACGAAACCGGAAAACAAATCGTGCCAGAACCGGCAACAAAACGTTAAAACGGAACCGACAGATAAACGGCTCTGTTTTTTCCACGGCCCATTCAGAGAGAGGATGATGTAACTACAGCTGGCATGAGTATTGTGGGCAGGCCTTAGTTTTGGAATGGGACTCTCCACCTGGGACTGTTCTTCGCTGTGGGTATCTCCATCGGGTATTGGGCTTTTGATCAAGGGGGCATGCCTTTGACAAACATTATTGTGGGCATGTTTCGACTGTAAGCGGAAGTTGATGGCGAGGAATATCGACGCAGGTTTGACAAAATTTGCGCAGACCCTCGAGGAGGCGCGGTCGGTGACTCTTCGGCACTGTGCCCGACGTGACCTCCCTCAGCGGGGCAGCGTACCTCCGCCGTCCTCGAAAACTGGGACTCTGCGTCTACCATCCGTGTACCAATGGGGCCAGCTTCGAGGGTGCCCGGCCGACCCACTGGGGCCCCACTCGAGCCACACGCACTCTGGCGTCTGGGCAGGAAAACGAGCCCAGCTCAGCGTTCAGCGCAGGGAAGGGGAGGAGGCGTAAGGGGCACGGGGGAGGTGGCGGGAAGGGAAGGGGAAGGAAGGGAGCACCTCGCGTTCTCGTTCGGGCAGGTACGCTTGCCGGGGCTCGTAGGCTTCTCGTCCAGGACGACGTCGTTGGTGCATTGCGCGATGAGCCCATGCGGGCGCTGGCCTATACGCCAATCGATTTCCACCATGCTGGGGATGCTGTGGTCGGGGGAGCGCGCCGATTTCGACCAGATCTGGGGTTCCAGAGACGCCCCTCACCTTGTGCTCCACGCCCTTGCCCCTCCGAGCAGCGCCGACGCCGAGAACCTCTCTCCGTAGACACTTCCTGCGGACTTGCTCGTCTCAGGGAATCCCCGAGGAATCTGCGACCGCCCCGTTGTGCCTGCAATGGCCCACGAACAATTCCCTCAACGGGCGCGCAGAGCCAGGATTCCGACCTTAATGGGTGGAGGGAGAATCGCATGTGCTCTTCCACCAGTGGCGGAGCGCTCCTCAGTCACGTCTCCATATGCGAAAGAGCGCGTTCTGCGGTCGCCTGGAAGGGGGGGTTTGGAACCGGACCCCCCCCCCTGGATGGAAGGGAGGGGGGGTTCGAATCCTCCCCCCCTCCCGTGACGGAAGGGGGGGGTCCCGTGACGGAGAGGGGGGGGTTCGACCCCCCTCCCCTCCCCTCTCCCTCTTCTTGCTCCTCGGGCCGGCGCCAGCGTCGGCGGCGGCTGGCGGCGGCGGCGGGGAGCGTCGATGAAGACGACGTTTTTCTTTTCTGGGCGGGCGCCGGCGCCTGCGGCGGCTGGCGGCGGCGGCTGGCGGCGGCGGGGAGCGTCGACGAGGACGACGGCGACGACGATGACACGACGACGACGACGCTCCGCCATTGTGCCTTGGTTTTGGGTCAGAGTCTTAATGGATGCCTCCTGGGTTCTCGTGGGAGGGCTATCGGGGGTCTCTGAAGGGCAATATGAAGCATCCTGGGCGCCCGTTGGGCGTTTCTTGGGGCTTCTCTGAGGTGGTGGTGGCTGTGGGCTGTGGTGGTGGTGGTGGTGGTTGTGACGGTGGTGGTGGTGGTGTTGGTGGTGGTGTGGTGTTTGGTGGCGTTGGTGTTGGTGGTGGTGAATATTGTGGTGGTTGTGGTGGCAGGCTGTGGTGGTGGTGGTGGCGGTGGTGGTGGGTTGTGGTGGTGGTGTGGTGGTTTCTGGTGGTTGTGGTGGTGGTAGTTGTGGTGGTGGTGGGTTGAGGTGGTGGCAGTGGTGGCGGTGGTGGTGTGGTGGTTTGTCGTGGTGGTTGTGTTTTGGTGGTAGTGGTTGTGGTTGTGGTAGTGGGTTGTGGTGGTGGTGGTGTGGTGGTTGTTGTTGTTGTGGTGGTGGTGCTGGTTTTGGTGGTGGTGGTTGTGGTGGCGGGTGGTGGTGGTGGCTGCGTGGTGGTTTGTGGTGGTGGTGGTTCGTGGTGGTGGTGGTGGGTTGCGGTGGTGGTGGTGGCCGTGGTGGTGCTGGTTGTGGTGTGGTGGTTTGTGGTGGTGGTGGTTTTGGTGGTGGTGGGTTGTCTAGATGGTGCTGGTGGTGGTGGTGGCGGTGGTGGTGCTGGTGTGGTGAATTGTGGTGGTAGTGGTCGAGGTGGTATGTTGTTCTGGTGGTGAGGCGGTGGTTGTTGCGGTGGTGGTAGTGGTGGTGGTAGTGGCGGGTTGTGGTGTTGTTGTTGGTGGTGGTTGTGTGGTGGTTGTGGTGGTAGTGGTGGTGTGGTGGTTTCTGGTGGCGGTGGTGGGTTGTGCTGGTGGTGGTGGTGGCGGTGGTTGTGGCGGTCGTGGTGCTGGTGGTGGTGGTGTGGTAGGTTGTGGTGATGGAGTAGTGGTCGTGATTGTTGTGGCGGTGATGGTGGGTTGTTGTGATTGTGGTTGTGGTGGTGGCTGTGGTGGTGGTGGTTGTGCGGTGGGTTGTGGTGGTGGTGGGTTGAGGTGGTGGTGGTGGTGGTAGTGGGTTGTGGTGGTGGCGTAGTGGTTTGCCGTGGTGGTGGTGGGCTGTGGCGTTGGTGGTGGTGGTGGTGCTGCTGGTGGTGGTGCTGGTGGTGGTGGGTGGTTTGTGGTGGTGGTGGTTGTGGTTGTGGTGGTGTGGTGGTTTGTGGCGGTGGTGGTTGTCGTAGTTGTGGTGGTGGTGGTGGGTTTTGGTGGTGGTGGTGGTTGCAGTGGTGGTGATGGTGGTGGTGGTGTAGAGGTTTGTTGTGGTGGTGGTGGTGGTTGTGGTGGGTTGTGGTGGTTTGTGGTGGTGGTGGCGTTTTTGGTGTTGGTGGTGGTGTTGTGGTTTGTGGTGATGGTGATTGTTGTTGTGGTGGTGTGGTGGTTTGTGGTGGTGGTGGTTGTGGTGGTGGTGGTGTGATGTTTTGTGGTGGTGGTGGTGGTGGTGGTGGTGGTAGTGGTGGTAGTGGTGGTGGTGTGGCCTTCGGGTCTTCCAGCCACCGTGTTTTGGCTTTGGATCAAAGTTCTAATGGATGCCTCTTGGGATCTCGTCAGAGGGGTCTCGGGGGCGTCTGAGGAGCATTTGTGAAGCTTTCTGGACCCTCTAAAGGCCTCTCGGTGGCCTTTGGGGGGCGAGGGCTCGATATGGCGCTTTGTGTTTCCCCTCTGCGGCCTCTTGGCCCTCTCTTGTTATCGTTGCTGCGTCCCCGCCGTCGGCGCTGCTGGCCGCTGGGCGCCGCCAGCGCCGGCGCCAGCGCCAACGATACCGATGATGATTACGACGATGATGGCGACGACGATGATGCTGTGGATGATGGTGATGATGGTAATGAGTAGATGCTGCTGTTGCTGTTGTTGCTGATGCTGATGGTGATCTTGCTGATGCCCATGATGATGCAGATGATGATGGTGATTGTGATGATGATGTTTATGGTGATGATGATGACGATGATGGTTGTGACGATGAGGATGACGCTGATGATCACGATGTTGACGATGATTATGATGATGGTGTGATGATTATGATGATGATGCCGATGGCGATGACGATGACGATGACGATGCTGCTGATGATGATGCTGATTATGATGATCATAATGCTGATGGTGATGACGGTGGTGGTGATGGTGATGATACTGGTGGTGGTGATGATGATGATGAGGATGATGATGCTATTGGTGATGATGACGGCGATGACGATGACGACGACGACCATGATGATGATGATGATGATGCTGCTGATGATGATGATGATGGCGATGACGACAATGATGATGATGAGGACGATGAGGACGATGATGCTGATCATGATGGTGATGAGGATCATGACGATGATGACGATGATGATGATGGTGGTGATGATGGTGAGTATGGTAACGGTGATGCTGATGTTAAGGATCCTGGTAACGATGTTGATCAAAATAATAATGATGTTGGTGATGATGGTGATGATGGTGATGCTAATGATGACGATGATGATGATGATGATGTTGCCGATGATGATGATGATGATGATGATGATGATGATGATGATGATGATGATGATGATGATGATGATGATGATGATGATGACACTGCTGGTTACGATGTTGATTATGGCTATGATTATGATGCTGATGATGATGAGTATCACAGGAGAACGAGGCGGACGCGGAGGGGGGGTAACTGGAGGATGAGGAGGAGAATGAGGAGCGGGGGGGTACAGATGGAGGAGGAGGAGGAGGAGGAGGAGGAGGACGCGGAGGACGTTGAACATGAAGGAGGCACGTTGAGGAGAGTCGAAGAGGAGGATGATGATGAGGAGGAGGAGGAGGCGGAGGAGGAGGACGGGGGGAGGAGGAGGAGGAGGAGGAGGAGGAGGAGGAGGAGGAGGAGGAGGAGGAGGGAGGAAAAGGAGGAGGAGGCGGAGGAGAAGAGAGAGAAAGAGGAGGAGAAAGGAGGAGGAGAAAGGTAATGAGGAGAAGGAGGAGGAGGAAGAGGAGGAGGAGGAGGAGAAAGAGAAAGAGGAGGAGGAGGAGGAGGAGGAGGCGGAGGAGGCGGAGGACGAGGCGGAGGAGGAGAAGGAGGAGGACGAGGACGAGGAGAAACAGGAGGAAGGATAAGGCAAGAGGAGGAGAAGGCCTTTGCGGATCTTTTGTGGCGAGAGCCCATTGTTTGGAGTCCTCTTGGGGACTCGTGGGGCCCGCTCGGGGCTCTCCCTTCTGGGGTTACGAGGTCCTCTGGGGGATCCATGAGGGCCTCTTTGGACCATCTTGGATCTTGGTGAGCACCGCTCAGGAGAGGAGGGGGGCCTCCAATGCCGCCTCGATTTTGGGGCGATCTTGGGCGCCCTTGGGGTGGCCTTCCTGGATCCGGCGTGCGACGGGCCACAGGAGAGCAGATGCGACGGCGACTGGGACGAGCACGCGGCCCCAGAGCGAGCGAGGGGCTGGGCGCGAGGGGACGAGCGGAGCGCGACTTCCTCCTCCTCCTCCTCCTCCTCTTCCTCCTCCTCCTCCTCCTCCTCCTCTTCCTCCTCCTCCTCCTCCTCTTCCTCCTCCTCTTCCTCTTCCTCTTCCTCCTCCTCCTCCTCCCTTTCCTCTTCTCCTCCTTCTCCTCCTCCTTCTCCTCCTCCTGCTCCTCCTCCTCCTCCTTGGGAGGGTGGGGGGCGAGAGGAGCCAGGAGCAGCGGAGAGGCGCTCTGGAAGGGGGGCTGGGCAAGCAGGTGCGTGTGCTGGTCGAGGGGGCGAGGCGGCGCCGCTGGGCGCCCGTCGGAATCGAGGCGGCGCGCGCGGGGGAAGGCAGCGCTCCCCCCACAGAGATAAGCGCAGGACGGCGCAAAATGCGGGCGCGAGGGCAGCGAGGGCAAGGAGGAGGAGGAGGAGGAGGGCCAGCAGCAGGAGGAAGGACAGAGGTGGAAGGAGAGGGGCCTCTCCCAGCCCGATGGACGGTGCCAGCCCCAGGAGTCGGCGCAGGCCAGGAATGTGCGCACTCGGGCATTGCGGACTCCTCATTGCCATCGGATCTGCGTGCCACAAGACCTGTGTTTGTTTGCTCGTGATGCCATCGAGAGTCAAGCTGGTCACCGTCCAGCAAAGGATGAGGAGCAGCATCAACAGGAGCAGCAGCAGGAAGAGCAGCAAGGCCCGGATCAGGAGCAGGAGCAGGAGCAGTAAGAGCAGCACCAGGATAAGCAGGAAGAGGGGGAGCAAATACGAAGAATGACGAGGGGGAGATGGAGGATGAGGAGGAGGATGAGGAGGAGGAGGAGGAGGAGCAGCAGCAACACCAGTTCGTCCTCCTCCCCCACCCCTTCGTCCACGATGTGCAGTTACCGAACCTCGCAGGGTGTGCCTTTCCCCCTTTTGAGGGGATTACCATTCTTCGTTTTGGCCTCACTGGAGCTCCGCCGCCGCCGCCGCTCCCCCCCCCTTCATAGGGCTCTCCGGAGGCACAAAAACGTCCACGGACCTCGATTCTCGAACCTCGCTCGAACTTCGCCCCTCTGGCCCGGAGTGGGCCCGCCGCGATTTTGCTCGCAGCGTGGAACCCCCAAAGGCTTCGGCCCCCACCAATCCTCCCTGGGGCTCTCCAGAGGCACGAAGGCGCCCACGGACCTCGACCCTCGACCACCCTGGCCCCGGAGAGGACCTGAGCCACCGACGTCGTCGCGATGTTGCTCGCAACGTGGGCCCCCAGAGGTTTGGGCCCCTTCCCCAGGACGGACGTTTCATCCCGAGCCCTCTCTCGACGGCCCTGGCAGGCCTGGCGAGGCCCCCAGGAGGCCGAAGAGTGCCACCTGACGCCTCACGCCGCGATCCCTTCTCATGCCGCGATGCGGCGGACGTCTGGGCGAGTCCTGGGGCCGCGTCAGCCTCTCTTGGGCTGGTGTGGGACGGGCAGCCTATAGGAGAACCCCCCTGGGAGCTCGCTCGGAGCAGCCTTTTAAGGGGGCCCTCTCTCTTGCAGGCCTCTCGGGCAGAGGGGCGAGGCCACAGCGGCGGCGGCGGCCCGGGGCCCGAGCGGCGCGGAGCAGGACCCGGGGCACCGAGCGGGGGTCGCGCGGTGCCCCGGCCGCACGAGGTCCGGCCTGGCGAGCTCCTACCAGAGCTGGCGGTGTGCGGGCGCGCCCATCTCCGCCATCTGCCAGCCGACCGACCAGGGCGTGCGCGTGGTGCCGAGGAAGGCGGGCTCCGAGCGCGGGGGGGGGGAGGCGAAGGAGGAGGAAAAGGAAAAAGAGGAGGAGGACCCGTGCAGCTGAACCCAGAACTCGTTGACGATATTGCAAGGAGCCTTCTCTCCAGGTTCCCTCCTCACAGGCCCCTAGAAGTACGCGGAATCACTTTCACTGGGGGAAGTGCCCCGTTCGAAGACATAACTGCTTGAAATTCCTCGATTGCGCCAGAACAGCATTCCTGGGACTTCAACGCCGCGGCTCACAGTTGCTGTTGCGCCTCGACGGTCCAGACTCATGACAGAACATAGTTCCTGGGACGTCAACACCTCGAGTCAGAATAACTGCTGCGCCCTGCCAATCCGACATCGTGCCACAACACACATTCTGGAACGTTGACATTGAAAAGCCCTGACAGGGTTGCGAACGCGGCGGTGGCGCGAGTCGTCGGCGCCCCCCCCGCGGCGCCGGCGGGCGGCTCGGCCCGCCGACCGACGAGGGGCGGCCACGAGGCCCCCGCGGCGAGGTGCGGAGTCTGCCGCCGACGGCTCGGGCGCGGGGAGGGCCGGCGCCTCTCGGCGGAGGGCCGCTCGAGACAGCGGCAGGCGGCCTTCGGGGGGGCCCCCCGTCACCGCGGCTGGGCGCAGCTCGGAAGCTGAGCGCGTTTGGGCCCCGGGAGGGGCCCGGGGACCGATGTCGAGCCGATCTTGAGGTTCGAGTGTCTCAGCTCGCCCTGCCCCGACCTCGAATGGTTGCTACATCGACGATGCATCGTTGATATCAGGGGCGTTGTGCCGACGATGTGTAGACGCTGCGCGGGGCCGTCTGCGTCGACGATGCATCGACGATCTGTGGGCACTGTATCGGCCGTCCGAGGTCGGCGCATCCCCCTGTCATGCGTATCCCCCCTATCGTTGCCACTCCACGCCGCGGTGCCCGACGGCGGGCGTCCTTCTGCTGCGGAGGTGGCGGCCCGCCTCGGGTCGGACGAGCGGGGCGACGCATGATGCTGCCCTCCCGCCACGCCTCGCGATGGGGGAGGCGGAGGAGGAGGCCCGATGCTTCGGGAGCCTCGCGCGCTGCCGCGGCCAGCGGGCTTGGCCTCGAGGCTTGTGGACTTGTCGGGGCGTCGGCATGGGTGGGCCTGCTGCCCGCTGTACTCTTCCTTCTCACGCAGCTGATGCCGACAACGTCCCTGGACTCCGACATCGTTCTCTGCAGGGCGCGGGGGCCCAGAGCTGCCTGCGTTGCAGTCGCCTGCGCGCCCGCGCGGCGCCAGAGCGCCGTGCGCATGATCTCCGCCCTCGGAGTGTGGCTTCGTCTCATTTATATTCGTCGTGTTTGTGTATCAAGTGTCTTTTCACACTGTCCGTATTGTTGCTATTACGTTTCGTCTGAATAGTGCGGATTCCTCATTTGCCAGTTCTCCTTCTCTCTCTCACTCTCTTTCCCTCTTTCTCTCCCTCCCGCACTTCTCTCTCTCTCACACACACACTCGCTCTCTTTCTCATTTCACAGCGAAGCCTGGCCCAAGGAGCCCACCGGAGGCCGCCGGAGTCAGGTAAGTTCCCCCTCCCACTAACGGGGCTCCCATCAAATCCCCCAGCGCCCGCCAAGGCATCCCGAAGGGGCTACAAGACGGCCGAGGATTGCTGCAAGTCGGCCCGAGAAGGCCCCCTCGACGTTCCAAGAGGGGCCCAATAGAATTCCTAAGGGGGCCCCAGCTCTCAAGTCGTTTACTCCCCAATGATTTTTGGATGTAGCGTTCTCGGATTCTCCGTCTTCCGACCGCCCAGGACGGCTCAACGGGCCTCCAAGAGGCGGCCCCAGAGGACCGCAGGGCGACCGCCAGGGCCGCCCCAGGACGGCCGAAGAGGCCCCCGAGACGGCCCAGCCGCTTCTCAAGATGCTCCAGAAGGGGGCCCTGGAGGGGGCCGTCTGGGGGCCCTCTGGAGGCCCCCGAGACGGCCCAGCAGCTCTTCGAGATGCTCCAGAAGGGGGGGGGCCCAGGCGGGGGCCGTCCGGCGGGCCCTCCCCCCCGCAAGACGGCCCGCGATGCGCCCGGAGGGGCGGGGGCCTCGGGGGTCGGGAACCTTGAGACGGGGGGCGATGCAAACGGGGGTCAACCAGAACGCCAGATCTTGCAGGCTCCTGCAGGGACAGGGCCGTCTTGACCCGGGCTTGGGTGCAGGATCCTGCAGGATCTTGCAGGATCCTTTGCATTGACCCAGGTTTGGGATCCTGCAGGAGTTGCAGGACTCTGCATGGCCTCACTGACCCGGGTCTGGATTGACCCGGGTCAGAAGATCCCCGAGGGGGGCGCGGGGCGTGCCGCCCGAGGGCGGGCGGCCGCAGAGGGGGCCCCCTCTCCTCGAGCGGCGGGCGGCCCCAGCCGCCGTGCCCGCCCCTCTGCCGTGGCTCGGCAGCGGGCGAGCGACGAGGGGGGAAAGGGAGGAGGAGCAGGCCTCCTCGAAACCAACAAAAGGGAGAAGGGGGTTCTCTAGCTTCGCTGCAAAGGGAGGGGAGGAGGAGAAGGAGGAGGAGGAGGAGGAGGAAGAGGAGAGCTTCTTAAAACAAGCAAGGAAGAGGAGAAGGCCTTGTGGGAGCCCTCCCCTCTCGAGACGGCCCGCGGGCACCCCCCCCACGCATGCCTCGGGAAGGGCCCCCCACAGGACCGCGCGTGCCGCGCGATGCCGCGGCCGCGCGGGTCCTCCCCGCGCAGGGACGGGCGCGGACCCAGCGGCGGTGCGGAGGGGGGCGCGAGGGGAGCGCCCGCCCCGAGCGGGGCCTGGCCCTCGGAGGGGTCGAAGGGGGGCCAGTGGCGCCCCGTTCTTCGGCGGCGGGTGGGCGGGCAACTTGAGACGGACCCAGATTCTTTCGAGTCAGGGTTTGGGGCTATTTTCGGCCTCTGGGGGCCCTGCCCTGGCCCTGGGACCGTCCAAAACAGAGCCGGGACAAAAGAACTAGTCCTGCGGAATGGGCCGAGACCTCTGGGGGTCGACGCTCGCAAACAAAATCATGTAGTCCGGAGTTTTGGGAGGGGGGGAAGTGAGAATGAGAAGGTCTTCTCAGAAGGCGGCGAGCCTACTACGAAGGTTTCCGGCCCTCCGAGAGGTGTTTCGTGTCTTCCGGGGAAGGCTCAGAGCACTCCCTCAGCAGTCTCGTGGGACTTCCGAAGATTCTGAGAAGGCCCGCCCCGTCTCACTGCCCCCGGGCTCGCCGCCGATCGGCGGAGGGCGGCGGAGGGCCAGCGGGAGGCGGCGGAAGCAAAACGAGTGAGTAGCTGGGCCTCTCTGGTGGGGTCGGAGCGGATCTGGTCGGAGGATCGCGCCCGCCGCATCACCGATGCATCGGCGATGCGGCGGTCGGAGATCGCGACACATCGCCTCGGCGATACGGCTCGATGTGGAGCCCGATTTTCTCCACGCCGGCGTCGCTGATGCACCGCCGTCGTTGCCGATGCGTCGTCGATGCATCGCCGATGCATCGGCGATGCGGCGCGATCTTCCGACCCCACCTGCTCGGACCCTATCTGGGAAGCCTCTAGAGTGTCCGCCGACGGAAGGCGGCGGAAGGAAATTTCCCAAGAAGTGCCAACATGTTTGGAGTCTGGGTTTCTGGGGCATAGCACGTGGCAGAGAAGGAACACAGATGAGAAGCTCTCGTAGAGGAGAAAGAGGCACGGTTGGATGAAGGAAGGTGGAGGTGCAGGAATGGAGGAGGGGACAGGCAAGAAGGAGTGATGAGGAGGTGCAGGAAGGGAGGTAGCAGTAAGAGGAGGAGGAGGAGGAGGAGGAGGAGGAGGAGGAGGAGGAGGAGGAGGAGGAGACGGTCGGGAGGAGGACGAGGAGAACGAGGCAGAAAGACGCAGGAAGGGGTCGAGGAGGTGCAGGGAGAGAGGGAGTGCACGAAGGCAGGAGGAGGAAGAGTTGGATGCCTGAAGGCAGCAGGAGACAGGAGGAAGGAAGAGTCCGCAGCTCGTGCCGCCCCGACAGGTGCACCTGCAGGGCCCCGCCTGGAACGCCTGGAAGAGGATCCGCTGGGAGGTGCGCATCGGCATCCTCTGCTCTTCTTCTCGGTCCTCCCTCTTCCCTCCTGCTCCTCTCTCCTCGCTCCTCCCTCCTGCTCGCTCCTCCTCCTCTTCTTCTTAGTCTTCCCTCCTCGCTCCTCCCTCCTGCTGCTCCCTTCCCTCCTCTTCTTCTCAGTCTTCCCTCCTCCTCGCTCCTCCCTCCTGCTCCTCTCTCCTGCCCCGCCTTCTCCTCCCTCCCGCCCCGTCCTCCCTCCTCCTTTTCCTGCTCCTCCCTCTTACCCTCTCCTCTTCCTCCTGCTCCCTGCTCCCTCCTCCTCCCTCCTGCTCCGTCGCCTGTGAGGGCAGAGGTTCCGCAGACCCTCACGTTGTGCTTCAAAGCCGTGCCCGACCATGCCATGCCATCCGCCTGCGTATCTTTTCTTCTTTCGACCGTTCCGCTCGGAAGCCAGTGTCGTAAGGATCGGTGACGGGGCAGTCCAAAGTGGATGTACTCTGGATCCCTTAATAATCGACCCCCCCCTAAAAAACCGGACCCCCCCTTCCTTCGCGACATAATTTTCCGGACCCCCTCCCGCAGAGGGCGCCTTAATATTCCGGACCCCCCCCCAGCAAAATTGCGAGCGCGACGACGACGACGACGACGACGACGACGACGACGACGACGATACGAGAACTACGACTACGACTACGACGACGACGACGACAACGCCAACGACAACGACAACGACGACGACGACGACGACGTCTATGGGCCACCATCCTGCAACGTGTGTACTACGGGCCACCATCCTGGTGTGCCACCCTGCAGTGCGTCTACAACAGACCACTTTAGCGCAGTGGCCACCACCGGCCACACGTTTTGCCAGTCGCCGTTTGCTGCTGCCGGGGAATGAGGACGGGCAAGAGGAGGGTGAGACGAGGAGGCGAGAGAAGGAGGAGGAGACAATAATTGAAGGAGGAGGAAAGATGATGACTGTGACAACGAGCGCGATGCAGTTGACGATGTGTTCTGCCTCGCGTGAGCGGCCCCCAGCTCGCATAATATACGATGCGCGCTCTCTCACTTGCCCTTGAAGCCCGCCTTCAAGGCCGCTTTCTGCACGAAGAAAGCGGCCTTGAAGGCGGGCTTTAAGGAGAACTGAGGGGCACTTAAGTGCGCAAGATGATGTTCGCGCTTGGGGTGCGACGAGGAAACCATCACCAAGATAGTCGTCATCGCCATCAGAAGTACCATCATTGCCACCGCCGCATCATATCGTGATGATGGTGATAACGACGATGATGAGGATGATGACGATGATGTTGAAAATGTTGTTGATGATGATGCTGATGATGATGATGATGCTGATGATGATGTTGGTGATGATGAACATGATGATGACGATGACGATGACGATGACGACGATGATGATGCTGATGATGATGATGATGGTTAGTACTCCGCGGGCTAGTACCCGAAAAGGCGCCCTAATAAACCGGACCCCCCCTGAACGTCGGCTTCAAGAAACGCCTTAATAAACCGGACCCCCCTGCTTCCCCAAAAGGCGCTTTAATAAACCGGACCCGGGGGACGATTATTAAGGGATCCGGAGTACGTCTTTGCCCTCTCATCCTCCCCCCGGCTCAGCAGTCTTCCCTCCACCCTCCTCCCCCTTATTCCGCGCGTTAGCCCCCGCGAGCGAGGATCCGCGCGGAGTGCGCCACCAGCGACATGTACTGCAACCCTGGCCCGGTGCAGGACCGCTTCTGGCCGCGGCCGTGGCCCCGACAGCGGGCAGCTTACGGTTCGGTGGGACATGCCGCCAGAAGGGCGGGGGTCACTGCGCAAGGGGACTTTTCCCGGGCACAGCAAAAAGCACCACGGCAGCGACGCTCCACGCCGACGACGCCCCACGCCGACGAAGACGAAAACGACGACGAGGCTTGCTTACGATCCGCGCCGCAGCACGAATCGGGAAAATGTCAAATTTCGAGGTTCGGAAATCAGGGTCTTGTTTTGCGGTGATGCGGCTTCTCCCCGCGCGCAGGCCGCCTCCTTGCGCAGCAGGCGGGCAGTTCGGCTTTGCACCCTAGTGCCCAGGTGAGGTTGGGTTAGA